CGAGTGTCGGCGATGTGAAGCACTATGAGAATCTAAGGGAGAAATTTGAGACAAAGCTTTGGTAGAGCCTGGACGTACTCACTGTATATTTGTTGACTTTCGAAATAATATCCGCCAATGTATCCATCCGCTACTTCATGATTTACACATCGTCCTCATAAGTCACCAACGTATCTCCCTAGCTATTGCCAACTACGCGTCCATCATCTGGAATCCCAATGCCCCGTTGTACCCTTCTCTCGCCTTGAACTTCTTCTTGAACCAGCTTTTCAACCCACGTCCACTCGCTTCGTCATGATGGTGCTCGTCTTCTTGGCTCTCCTTACTATCGCCACTGGGCCGCCAGTCCTTCCTCGGCGCTCCTGGAGTCAACGGCGCATCGCTCGCAACGACGCCAACATCGCTTTCCTTACTCCTCCGATCCCCTTTGCCACCCAGCATTCCCGTCGCACTACCAAACGTGAAGAAAGTCGGGGTTCCCATGAATGTCGGTGAAACTGGCGGCGACCAAATCGCCCTCGCGCTCCCTTCACTAGCGCTCAAGAAACTCGATACGGTGGGTGATCTCTCCGGAAAGCCTGATACTGTTGGCGACGTTGCCGCGCTCCATCCAGCGACTTCAGCCAACGCGCAGTCGAAACAGCCGCTGTTGTCGGTGCTTTCTTTGTAGCGCAATTTATACCTTCGACAGGAGCGGCCGGTGGCGGGTTGACGTTCACGGGGTGTGAGTATGGCGCAGTAGTCCCAGCGGAGAAGGGTGGCGTGGGCGCAGTGGCGGTAACGAGTGTTGATTTCGATGCACATGTTGACCGGCGTGTTGTTGGCGCTATCTGGATTCAATTCTCGAACAATAGCAGAGCGATCTATTCTATAATTCTCAATAGCTGAGACTAGGCTGTGACAAATTACGTGATTAATATCGAGGAGAAGGGGTTATTATGATAGAGAGAAGTAGGAGATGACGCATTATTAGATCGGCTCAGTGAGAAAGTAGCACACCAAAGGCTTGATTGATGCTTTCTCCACTTTAACGTGATTGCGAAATAGGATTGTGAAGAGAAGCGTGCTGCGCTTGATTATCGTGAAAACGCTTCCATGCTCCTTCGAACTACTGTGCACGAACTGTCGTGGTTCGTTCGCATGTATAATGAACTTTACAATCATGCGTCCGTGACTTCACGTCTCCCGCTGGTTGCGAACGTTATGTCAATTTCTTCCATCGAACACAATGCTCGAGTGACCAGATCGCAAGTAGTTTACTCATTTTATATGGTGTCCACACGCCCTACTAGCCTCAACATTTCTAACAATGACGCTTTCGATACCGCGGAGAAGAACTGACTCTCTGTCTACTCTTTCCGGTAACTCTGACAGATGTCGAAAACTGCGGATTTACCACCGAGCCAATGTTGTTTCGAGCCGTAAGTCCTGCTTCCACGGAGGGAGATGGCTCTACAATATGTCTTCTTCGAGTAACTTCGGAACACATTCGTTGAAGACTGCGGTCGTAGGACCGAGCCAATACAGTTCCATAGCGCGGTTCGAAGAAGCAAGGCCTGCGAAGATACGTAACAATATATCTGTTTTGAGTAATCGAACTGGACATCTATCGAAGACTGCGGACACAAGGCCGAGCCAATGCTTTGCTTTTGTCGCGACTTCATCACTACGCATCGCGGAAGTAAGCACCGCATTTCCTGATCAACATCCTGAAACGGTGAGAATATGAGACCGCCCCATTCTTTTCCAAACAACTTACTTGTTCTAGAACATGGCAGGCAACAGCGTCGTTCGTAGCGGACGGCAAAACCGACAAACGAGAAGCGACCTTCACTATCACCGCCTGAAAAGGAAGATCGCATCGAGATCTCGAGTCGACCAGGAAGTGCGAAGCGAAGGTGCGGGTACACCATGCTGGTGCCCGCCTAGTGCAGAGGCCACACGGCTCCGCGGAGTATCGACCTAAGTACCTAAAGTGCTTGTGGACTGTCTTGAATTCCAAACGGTGCAGGTCACACAGCGTATCAATCTACCCATCGAGCCTCAAAGTACCTGACAGTCGAGCCGCAAAGAATAGTTCGGCCAGGGTTACGTAAGGGCTGTACTGCAGATCAATGCAGCCAGTAGTGGAGCACCGTCGGCAAAACCTACCGAGCCTTGGAGTGACAGATTTCCAGATCACGATTGGACACAGTCTTGGATGTAATCATCATGTTCACTCTTGCATCACATCTGCGTTAGGTCTTCCCATTTGCAGAGTTCCGATCCAGGTGCTCGTGCGAAGTCCAGACAGCTAAGACATCGTATCTAAGCAGTAATGCTATCTAGCTGCATTTCCGTGATTTAGGACTCGCTTCAAACTTACATAGTCGCCGTCCATCCTCACGCTGCTTCCGAAAGTGGAAGCTTCGATGCGTCGCGTTGGAGGCAGGTGGCGCAGACGGCGGAAGGCGCCGAAGTAGTGGCTGCTAGTGATGCGCGACTCCTTTTCCTTGTAAGCATGTAGTAATGCGCATTCCTTGGGTGCGTGCACTGTACAGTATCTGCCTTGAGGATAGACAACAGAGAGGCGGTGGAGGAGGTTCACACCGAGCTAATCAGAACGTACGCAGAGCAGTGGATCAGTGTAAGTCTGACATAAGCATTGCAGCTCTTGCATGCTTTCGGTAATTGGCATGCATGGGTTCGTTAACGGAATTAGTCTGCGTGGGTCTTGTGCATGTATGCATATGGCAGCCGCGGAACAACAAGACCGTCGCGACCGACCTGTCGTTCGATTCTCGTATGATCTATCACAGCTCGCAGGGATTAGCGCTCATTGTGGTCCCGTTGTTGCAGTATGAAGAGGAGACTTCGTATATGAATTCATACTTGCATGTATCATACGCTAGTGGTAAGCTGCGGGAGGGGCCGGACCACATTGAGCTTGGAACGATGTAAAGGTTGCGTAAGTGCTATCCGTGCTATCCACAAGACTTAAGGACGTCTTCGTTACATGCCGCTTCCCCTCACTCCGACTCTTTCAACACTCATTTCGTTGTTCAATACCGATAGTCATATCCTCCCTCTCGTTCGAGCGTCCCCAAGCCCCTCGGCCCCTCAGCGTTCATGACACTCTCTGGATGGCCCATGATAATAGCTTGCCTAGCCCCAAAGGACCCACCATCGTTGTCATCGTCCACTGGCACGGTCAAGTCGCCCTCCCTTTCTCCTCCGCCTTCTCCCTCCCACTTCAAGAACTTCTCAAACGCGGCGGTGCCGCGTATGCTACCGGTCTTGTCGTATCGCTGAATCATGTTGCGCATATGGCCTATCTCGCGTGCGCAATCTTTGCAGACCACCATGTCCCTACTAACATGCGTGCGCTTAATAGGGTTTGCACATTTCACAGCTGCGAGCTGATGGTCTGGCAAGGTGCTGTAGTCCAGCGTCATGGTATAGTTGTAGGACCCCGAGCTTGAGTCTGAAGTTCGGGGCGTTGTCGTGCCTGACGGGCCCGAAACGGCGCGGCGCGAATTCGTCGACGCATTAGTGGAAGACCGCGAAAGCTGTCCGCTCAGCGAAAAGAAGCGTCGCGTGGATGAGCTGCGCTTTGGTGGTGATGCATAGTTTGCTGTGGGCGAGGAGATTGGTGGAGAGTTGGGCCCTCGGAGCGCGTTCAGATTCTGAATCGCCGTGTCGCACAGCGTCCATGGAAGCGTATGCGATTCGCCAATGTGGCCGCAACTACATACAAAGTTATCAGAGAGGCTACTTTCCAGATTGACTGCTCTCCCACAAAGGTACCGCGAACCACAAGGACTTACCCATTATGCTGCGAATAGTTGTGGTAGCACATGGCAAACTTCGCGACTGCAAAGAGGTATGACGTAGTAACCCAGTTTCGAGCTTAAGTGGTGCCGTGGATTGAGGTATGCAGGGGTCCGTAGGGTCGTTCAACAGGACGCAGCCAGACCCTGAGTTATAAACCGCGAAGCTTTTTTTGATGAGTGAATGGACTTGCACATGACAGTTGTATTATGCGTAGATAAATCTCCAACTGTCAGCTATGACTTATCGCATGCTGTCAATCCGCTCTCGTATCCTGCCATGGTGCCTTGTTTACTGAGTGGAGCGGTGAAGTGATTTGCACAAGGGTCGAGTTGGTCACGTGCCGTCGACGTGGCAGTCTATGGCAAGACGTGATGCTCTGTGTCTCAGATTATAGGCGCTGACCATCCCTGGATGCGCAAGTTTCTGGCATTGATACGCCAGGAGAAAAGCCCAGCTGTGTACCGCTCGGTCACTGTAAGTGGCTCTTCACCTAGAGTGCGAATAGCAAAGTGACTCGAGCGATGAATGTTACAGCGCTTCATCTAGTCTTATTTTCCTTTTCGCTCAGTATAGGAGTTCATACTAGACTTGGGGTGACCATCCGACAGCCCTTGCGCTTCGTATTCAATGTGGCAGGCCAGACTGCGATGATGTCATACTCTCGGAGATCTGCTCATGGTTCGCATCGCTGCGTGATGTAGGCGTCGAGAAATCTTGAATTGTTATCGCAGGATTCGGCCCTACGTGAAACCGTGGCATGAGATTTCACAGGGTGTCGTGAAAGAGTGGTGCAGCAGAGTCAATGTGCGAGCGATGATGCCGGCCTAGCGCAAGCGCGAAGCGCTGGCCGCTCTTGCTAATGGATGGACGTGTCTGTTCGCGTCTCCTGCGACCAACACATTCAACACCACAATACATCCCACCATCAAGCCATCTAGCATCATGGACATCATCGTAACGCAGAGTGTAGGAGCGTGTGGTTGGGTACGCTCGAAAGTCTATACTTGATCGTACTGACGCGTCGTCGCGGGGTAATCCCAAGGTTGCGGACGCACCTCCTGAGTCCCTCCGGAATTTCACCAGTCCAACCCGCAATCCCGCTCCGGCCTCTCATGTACTACCCTCAAGAAGCGGAGGAAGACATGCTGTCCCAGAACAAGTCATGAGGTGTTGCGCGACATAGCAACATGTGCGCTTCACAAGAACACGTTCTCGACCTCGACACCACCTGGGCATCTCGAAAGAGCCAAACTTTACGATTTCCCAATGTCGTGATCGTTCCGTATCAGGTATGCGGAGCCACGGTACCTCGGATAGGCTGTGCTTCGGCTCCTCAAGTATCACGAGCCAGGAACGAGGCCATAACATTGCTGCAAGTATAGCAATGTATGCGTAACGTAGCCGGCTAACCCGCTTGCTGTTTGTTCTACGCTTTCGATCAGTCTCTTTCGGTATCCTCACTTCGCGTCAACTGTTGTTGTACTTCTAGCTTACACTAACGCCCCGTGGACTTTAGCGACAATGTGTTGTATAGTATAGTATCAAACCGAATGGCTACTGCAATACACTGACGGTCATTAGTTCTCCGCACTGCGCAATCGGCGAGCACGCGAACCACAGGCAGTCGGCAACGAAACCTCGCAAGCCACCGCGGGCTTATCGACTCCCAAGAAGCCGCCCTTTCGTCTCATCAAGTCAAATCCAGTCGCCAGCATCGAGCCTGTGCAACCAATAGACACTGCCATCCCTCTTCCGCCGAAATACCGATCGCGTGGTTTGAACACACCCAGGGTCCAGGATGTGACCGATCCTGCGATTCGGGCCTTGCTCTTTGGTCCTCTCGCTCAGATCGATCATCATCAGCATTATGGCACAGGATACGATGAGAGGCCAGATTTGATCCAACACGATTCTGCGTCCTCTGCGCATCACGAGTCTACGCGCTTCGGAAACAACGATTCAGTAGGCAGCGTACAACCGAGCTCTACAAGTTCCACAAAGGATGACAATGAGAGTGGAAAAACAGAGAGTGTCTCGCCTAGAAGTCACAGCTCTTCTGAGTGTGCGGGCACTGACGGCAGCGGCTTCAATGGGGGAGCTAGTGCTAGCTATAGTGACACAAGCGGCAGTGGTGGAGCTGGGCATACCTCAGATGCAGTGTACGATCAGGTGCTTTGAATCCACTCACGCGCGAGCCTCGTATCACCCTATCTTGTTGCCTTCTTATTGCCTTGTTGAAATCTTGTTGAGGTGCGGGGCGTTGCTTACGGTCTCTAGCCAATTGTATGGGAGGCTGTTGTGTAGCCTGAGGTTCACCGGTCTCATCAGGCATCCATCAACGAGTAGCCATATATCCGGCGACACTCTCGTCAGACTCTGCTCAAGACATAAGCTTGACGGGTTCTGCAACTTGGATCACTACTTCAACATTGTCATCTGTTCCGACAGTTTCCAGCACTGTGAACTTGCGATTCCTCGACTGTAATCTCCCCTGTCCACGCTCAGCCTTGCCAGAGCATCCATACGTTCACTTCTTTGCACACTCGTCTACTGAGAAGATGTGCGGTTATCCTCCTATACCACCGCAACACGATGTCAGTAGCCAACGATCGCGACGTACACGACGCGAGGCAAGGCCTGTGCCGAACCAACAGATGGTTAGACACCACCGCTGCATCTTGAACTCCCAGTGACCCACTAATTCACTTTAGATGATGTATCAAGGCCCCTGGGATCCAAGCTTAGGTCCGCCACCTGGGTTCGCTCCGCATGCGTACCTTCCAGGTGAACAGCTGCCCGCCGCAGACGACCTGACGGAGGCCGTCGAGACGGGCAAGCGCTGCGACTACCGAGACATATACCGCGTCCCGACCGATGAGGATCCGAACAGATACCACTGGGTGGATGAGAAGCCGCCGGTATACGGTGCTACAGGAGACAAACTTCGCACGAAGAAAGCACGGGAAGCTTTCGCAGTAAACGTCTACCATCGTTTTGATGAGGTCCTGGATGAATGGAAAATCCATGAACTACGAATCAACAGCACGCTCCTTCACGCTGCGCTGGAAAAGATACTTGAAGGTTACCCAGGCTTGACACAGCATGAAATGAAGTCGTTCGCACCGCCATTTCTTCCGTTCATTCATCGATGGGAAGCGATGCTTAGCTTCAAGGATAATGTCGAACCAGAGTCGGAGACCGAGCAACATCTTGAGCTACTGCAGGAGGTCCTCGAGCCCCTCCTCAAGGAGTCTTTCGATAAGATCCGCGATGTAAAGACAACCGGGCATGTTGCGTTCCAGGACCTGAACTTGGTTCTTGTTCCCGCCATGATGGTTCTGGATCATAAGACAGACTCGGTCGGGATTGTTCGATATTGTAACCTTACGTGCATGCCTCCCCCAACGCCAAAGATGTTCTGGTCGATAGGCGTCGATGTGGTTGACTGGGATGGAAGGCGATGCGGTCTTCTTGCTCAACCGAAACACGTGTTCCAGTATCAGGGCTTACGAGCCTTGACTGCGTTGGATGTATCACCTCTCAAAGATCTTCCTGATCAAGAAAGTATCCGCGAAAGACTCATTAAACGAGGCCGCCGGTTCGAAGAACTACGCGGCCATTTCTTCAAAGCCTTTACCGACCAACACGAAGAACGTGTAAACGAGCGGATGGTCATTGACGCACGAGCATACCACAAATACCAGCCCGCGAACCCGTTTCCAGAATACGCTAAACTGTCTGAGATAGGACAGCTAACGTGGGCCCAATCCATGGAGCGTTACTCCGCCAGTATACCAAGCACCCCGGGATCGCCAATCGAACTCGATCTTTCACCAATGACCGATGACGAATGCCTTCTCGCTGTGCACTATGTCAAGTGTTTTGACATTGAGAAGAAGAAGTGGGAGAAGCTAGATGTGACTAAGATTCACGAGATACCTTGGGCTGAGCATGCTTTCGACAGCTTAGTCCTCGATCAGGACGAGAAGGATCTGGTCTTGGCTCTGGTAGACCGCGATCAGTTCAAGCAAGGGAAGCCCTTCGATGACTTCGTCGTCGGCAAAGGCCAAGGCATGATTATGCTGCTTTGCGGCCCTCCGTAAGTAGCCCAGTGCGCACGGTCTGTGAGACATTTACTGACTTTAGACACCAACAAAAAGAGGCGTGGGTAAAACACTCACCGCAGAGACCGTCTCTGAGCACCTACGTCGCCCCCTCTATAAGCTCGGGGCTGGTGATCTGGGAATGACGGCGCGTGCCGTTGAGGATAGTTTGGAGAACGCGCTGAATCTGTGTGGACATTTCGGTGCTGTCCTGCTTCTCGACGAAGCTGATGTGTTCATGGAGGCGCGCACTGTGAACAATCTTCAACGCAACGAGCTTGTTTCAGTCTTCCTTCGCCTACTCGAATACTACAAGGGCATCATGATTCTGACCACGAATCGGATGCGCAGTATCGACACGGCTTTCGAATCTCGGATCGATATCACGCTGAGCTACAGCTCGCTCGGAGAAAGTGATCGCCTTCAAGTCTGGCGCAACTTCCTGGCTACTATCGATGCGCAGGATGTGGATATCGGAGAAGCTGAACTGGAGAGACTGGCAAAGCTCAACTTCAATGGCCGTCAGATCAAGAGCGCGATCAAGACTGCAAAGATCTTGGCGGCCAGAAAAAAGGAAAGACTGAGTGCAGAGCATCTCATGGTCGTGCTGAACTTGAGGCAGAAAGCACTCGGTATGATGGATAGTGGGGCAGATGATGATGAAGCCGGGAGGAGGGCAGACCGAGACGAAACTAGGAGCATGTGGTCGACAGCCACCGACACCGACAGTTCTCTTCCTATCTAGATTGGAGTCGGCCAAGTTTGTCAAATGCGATGTCGTCATTCCGAGTACACTGTTGTGTGAGCAGTCACGTCGGTCTCTCGAGGTAGGAGGTACCGACCGTTCATTCATTTGGAGTACATGCCTGCTGTCTCGTGCTCTTGGTCTTTAGGGTTGTTCTTCACCTCTGCAGACAGGTCTCGTAGGGTAGTCAGTCAATACTGAGCACTTGAGATCACATTGATTTACAGTGCGCTACAGCGAACACGACAATGAGTAAACACACTTGCCATGTAAGGCTTTCTTTTGGCTAGATGATTAACTATCAATCTGAATTCGTTTTGAACTAGGGCCACCCAAGGTGGCTCGCGACGCAACTTCGAGTTCGAATATGACGATTGCGTAGTGGACATGGATGCCATCAAACATTAGTCTAGTCCTTGGGCGATAGCGATGACATAGCCACCTGTAGTGCACTGCGTGTGTAGGGGCGCTACTCTCGAAAGGCCTCCCGTAACTTGACATCCATCTCCAAACCTTAACGCGAAACAAAGCTTACATCGCTCGGTTTCCCATATCGCATCGGCAGTCTCATACAGGCTGAGACTTCGTATTGCAAGATTGGCGCGGTTGTATCGCGCATTTGCATCGGATGTTTCCAAGTCGACAACGCGCAAGCTGCAAGCGAGCCCCCCTGGGCAAGATCCGTCCGGGCCGAGGTCCACTACCGCAGAAAACACGTGATATACACTCAACTGCGCCGCAACACGACAGCAAGATCCCGCAGATATCGGACAGGGCCGATAAACGCCCTCGTACAAGGCACGACATAATCGCCCTCAAGCCACTGAACACAGCCCGCTTCCAGCGAAGCACCGAACCGATGCAGCGAACCAATGGATTACCGGCTTCATCATGCCGATCCTTCAAGCCACACCGTGCACATAGACAGCGGTCCCGGGAAAACGCCAATACGGCTCACTCCCCGGATAAGGTCGGAGGATCTACTGGCGTCAGCCTCCGCCTCCGCTAATCTGCTTTTGCCTGAAAACTATCGCGTACACAGGATAAAAGCCGCCGAACCATTATAAATCGGAAACTCGCCAACGCGCCATGCGCTATATGTTGACGAATATCATGGACTGGTCTCGGCTGGGCCCTTGGTGTTGTTCAACACATCGGCAGATGCGGGCGGCCCGACCGCCGGTGTTATTACGGTTACCTCGACTTTCTCTGGGTACATATACGCAAGTACTCTTCTGTGAGGACGACAGACACAATTGCTGTTGTACGCTGTGATCATGCCTTCTCTTTTGAGTCTCGGAGTAACTGTCGCGCTTTCTGCGACTGGTCTTTTCGCACATCCACTCTCCAATGCGCAGCTCGTTTCGAGAGCGGAGGACCTTCTTCCAGAATACGACTATGTCATCGTAGGCGCCGGCGCGTCGGGTCTTACCGTTGCCAATCGACTTTCCGAGGATAAGGGTAGGCTTACACAGTAACCCGGTTTACGGAAAATACTAACGTCGTCCTGTTATAGATGTGACAGTACTCGTGATCGAGGCCGGCGATCTGTAAGTCTCATGAATACCACGCCCATCAAGTTGCTGATTTGTCTCCAGCGACCAGAACGAGGACTACGTCACCATTCCAGGTCTTGCAGGCGGTGCTGTAGGAACGAAGTATGACTGGAACACTTCGTATGCTCCGGACCAAGCACTAGACGGCCGCGTTGTCTCTATTCCACAAGGCAAGGTCGTGGGCGGGTCAACAAAGTTGAACCGCATGGTGTTCGATCGTGGCTCACAATCTGACTACGATGGGTGGGAGACTCTGGGAAACGAAGGTTGGAACTTTGAGACCTTCCTGAAGTACTTCAAAAAGGTTTGTTCTTTTCTACAGTTCTTTGATACTTTCTAACCAGTGTAAAGAACGAGAAATTCACACCACCAACTGCTGAGATCCAAGCCGAATACGACATTCAGGTCAACCCCGAATACCATGGCGACGAAGGATACATGGAAGTAACCTACTCTCCTTTCTTCTGGCCAACGACTAGTGAGTTTGACGCACCATTTTCATACGGCAAGATACTGATGACTATTTCAGAAAACCTCGTACAAGCTACCAAGGAGCTGGGAATCTCCATCAATGACCAGGCGACTGGGAATGCCTTCGGCGGTTATTTCTGCCCGCACAACATGGTCCCGATGAACTGGACACGCTCCTCCGCAGAAGAAGCTTACTATGCATCTGCCGAACCGCGCCCAAATTATCATCTTCTCACTGGCCGTCTTGTGATGCGCGTCCTTACGGAAAGCTGCAATGAGACGAACACGGTCAAGGCTACTGGTGTTGAGTTCTCGACTTCTGCAGATGCGGAGAGTCAACAGACCAAGGCCAAGCGAGAAGTCATCCTCGCTGCTGGCTCGTTGCATACACCCCAATTGTTGCAGGTTTCTGGAATTGGCGGAGCCTCTCTGCTCGAATCCATCAATGTGACCACCGTCGTTGATCTTCCGGCCGTCGGATACAACCTGCACGACCATCTTTCCGTCGCTGTGGTGAACGTCCGTAAGTAGGCCGTTATATGGTCTAGCTGAGGAGATACTGACATTGGCGCAGTCAACACTAGCGTTCTAACGAACACCCTGGCATCAAACACTACCTTCGCCGCTCAAGCTCGCGAGCAGTACGACAATGAGAAGTCCGGCCCACTAACCTCCCCGACCGGTGACTTCCTTCTCTTCCTGCCACTTCAAACCTATTCCAACGCCACGCAATCTATCTTGGCTCAAGCAGTCGCAGGTGGATCATCTGCCTCTCTCCCGGCTGATACCCCCGCTGAAGTCGCACGAGGCTATGAGGCACAGTTTGCTTCTCTCAACAAGAAGCTCCAAGCAAACGATTCCGCGATGATGGAGATCATCTGGGCCGACGGCGTCGTGGTGCTCGGACTTCAGCATCCGTACTCGCGTGGAAGCGTAAAGGCGAACTCATCCAGCATGTTCGATCGCCCAGTCGCAGATGTAGGGTTCCTCCGTAACGAAGTCGACACCGCACTCCTGCGCGAAGGTGTGCACTGGGCTCGCAAATTCGTTGCCACGCCATCTATTGCATCGCTCAATCCGTTCGAGGCTGTTCCAGGCAACAATGTCACCGCCTCTGCGGACATCGATGCTTTCATTCACAGCACCGCATCGACGCTATACCACCCGGCGGGCAGCTGCAAGATGGGTGCTAGAGAGGATGGCGGTGTTGTAGATCAAGAGCTGAAGGTCTACGGTGTGAACGGCCTGCGGGTCGTGGATGCCAGTGTCATGCCCATTCTTCCGGCTTCTCACATCATGACCACTGTGTATGCGACAGCGGAGAAGGCAGCAGATATTATCAAAGAAGCTGCGAAGGGAAAGTATTAAGGCAGGAAAGAAAGATGCGTTGAAGAGATAGGGTCAAAGCAATGCCAATTTTGACGATATCCGAATACCATCTTTTGTTTGAGAGGGAGCTATTTTGGTGAGGATGACGATGCACTGAACATGAGCTCACACAAGGTCTTCTCAAAGGTCTGAGAGAACATTCCACACGTGGGGTCCACGCGCGCATTGCACCAAAAACGTGCATAAGCTCCCAGGCGTCAGTCTGAGCTGAAAGCCTTTTTTGACGTGGATGGATCCCGCCTGGGCAATCATCCCCCGTCAGTGACTGAGGCTAACCCCTAAAAGGGTAAGTCACTAACCTCTTCGGTGGGACGGGCAGATTATCTCCCCGAGGAGACCACCAGTCTCTCCGCACTCAGCGTCAGGCCTGCATCTCGAAGCCACGAACTCTCCGCATCCCACCTTCACAGTGAGGATGAGAGCGCATCAGCCCATACTCCGCCTCCATGGGCGTCGCAAGTTTTGTTGTACTGCCAGGCTCGATAGGCATAAGTGTGCGCGCAACAGCAGTCATCAGGGCCCATCATTCCAGCTTCCATCAACATTGCGCTTCGAACACCATCGATTGCATCCCAGATAGGACGATACACAAAATTGCTAACCAGATTTCAACTCAAAACAAAAGATGTCTACACCCGTTCGCAAAGTCCTGATCTCAGAGTTCGGCGGCCCTGAGAACGTGTCGGTTGTCACAGCCCCCATCCCCGCGCCTTCCCCCAACGAAGTCCAAATCAAAGTGCTCTACGCCAGCATGGGCGGTGCAGATATATCCATGCGACAAGGTGCCTACCCGATGCAAAGGAAAGCACCATTGACGCCGGGCTATGCGCTTATCGGCCGCGTGCACCAAAATGGATCGGCTTGCACAAAATACCGGGCTGGAGACCTCGTCGCTTGTCTCACAAAATACGATGCGGAAGCCGAACTATGCAACCAACCCGAGAAACATCTCGTTAGCGTGCCAGAAGGACTCGATCTGCAGCAGGCAGTTGCCTTGGTCTTAGATTGGAACACGGCCTACGGGCTAGCCTATCGCGCCGCTAAGATCTCCGCTGGCCAGCGCGTCTTCATCCACGGTATCAGCGGCAGTGTCGGTTTTGCCGTCCTCACCCTTTGCAAGATGCAAGGTGCGGAAGTCTATGGGACAGCATCGGCCGTCAATCACGCAGCTATCCGCGAAGCGGGTGCAATGCCCTTCGTCTACTCCGACAAGAACTGGATGCAGGCCATGAAAGACGTGGGTGGCGCAGACATCGTGTACGATGCTCTTGGCTTCGAGTCTTGGGACGATAGCTGGAACATCCTGGCGAAGGGAGGTCTTCTTGTGGGTTACGGTGGTAACTTCGACCTGCTCACCGGTGGAAAACCTCGTAGTCAGCCACCTCAGGTTATAAAGCTACTCGCAAGAGGCATGGTTCCCTTTTGCCCTTACCGGACGAGTTTTTACTACATTGATCGCGATCAAAAGACGTTCAAGCCGGAGTTAGTGGCCCTTTTCAAAATGTTGGAGAGCGGAGCTATTCGGGTGCCAATCAGGAAGATGTGGGCGTTGGAAGAAGTTCCGGAAGCGCATCGTGTTTGGGG